TACTTGTAAAAATCGTAGGATTGCATGAGTTTGGCAACCTACTGTATATATGTCAAAGGACATTAACGTATGAGACTGTCACCCGCTTATACTTTCAGGGACATATTTACAATTTGGTCCTTCGTCATTTACCTAGGCGAAATCAACATTTTTTGCAGTCTTACTCTACTCAACTGCGGATTCCTCTGCTTTCTCGAACCGTCTCCTCTCTCCTTTACAGGTCGTTGTGAGTAATGCGCTCAATGCCATTCTCATGGGCTCTGGTTTTCTCTCATCCATCCTGATTGACCAACTTCTTGCTAGTCCAGCTCCTGCTGAAGAATCGAGCGGAAGCGAATTTGCCTTCACTGCTGTCCTCGATGAGGACATTGCGGTGGAATACCTCTTTGATGAACTCTCTAGCCTTCTACAGAGTCTGAACGCGGTTGCTGCCAAAGCTACCCCCTCGCAGCTCTTTCTACACGCTAAAGCACAGATCGTAGAGCTGTTTCAGTTCGTCGGTCACCTGCTGGTCTATGTTGCGCAGCGCTCTTCAGTCAGTACTCCCCCTTCTGCCGATGACGAGTTCGGACCTACCACTCGGCTCCTGGCGACGACTGAAGCCGTCTTGAGCAGCACTTTGGTACTTTGCACCTTGCCTCTTTGCTTAGCTCTTTTTAGTTTTTTTTTGTCTTTACCATCACTACACAGTAGATATAGTGGAAGTCTACTCTCATTATAATGTAATTTACACGCAAGTCAACGCGTTTGCTTCCACGCGGCGAACATAGTCTAAACCGCCGGTCGAACTATTGGGAAGTACCAAAAGGGGGACGTTTAACAAACGTTTCCAAGGGCCAAATAAATGCTTTCTAACGAGTTTAGAGGTAGCCCTTATCCAGATCTCCGCGACTAGCAAGATAATTTAGGCTAGGTGGAGGACAGACTGTTGAGTGTGTAATTTTCGCCTCCATCCCACCCTGACCGGGCTTGAGCGTGTGGGAGCCGATTGGTAACCCCCCGGGCAATCATATGGGGCAGTGTAAAATCCTTAGTGGCATTTCTCAACCACAGTCGACACTACTCTGGATTTATTTCACGTACGTACTCCTGGCGGCCGTTGGGCCATCGTTAACGAACCCAACTCATCCCTTATCTGCTTCTGCAACGACAGGTCA